GTCAATTAATATTATATATTTGTAGAGATCAGAATTTAGTGTAATAATATACTTAATGTTTAAAAAAAATCTATCAATAACTGAGAGAAATTGTATCTTTCAGGCTGGCCCAACAAGAATAATAATTGCTGTCTCTCAGGATGACATGAAAATGCTACACAATAACTTAAATGCACAAATAGAAGTAAAGAGACTAGTAAACGTAATTACATAGGTAAATGCAAAACCAAGAAAATATATATTTGATTCTAGATCTTTACTTCTACATAATTTAAGGATAACTGCATGAAGTAATTATAAAACTGCATTGATGCACTTATAATGTGCAATGGTATAATTTGTATGAGCATGATAGCATGAAAGATGGTGGGAAGGAATGGAATAGGAGTGGAAATGTTTTAACGTAATGTGGAAAGTAAATTCACATACTGTTGAAATAAATAAATGGATAGTAATTTAAATATTTAGGAGAAACTCTAAGAAATATGGATATTAAACGCTGTAGTAAAATATCTGCTTAAAGAAAAAGCAGGCAATAATGAGGGAATGAAGGAATAAAATGCATCAAAGGTGTACACACCCTAGAAAAATGGTGGATGTAAAATTTAATTCATTAATTAATGAAATTTCAATGAACTAAGCACTACAATAAAAGGCAGATATCAGAAGAACATATAAAAAATTCATTATCTAACTATATGGGGATATTTTAGAATTAAAGAAACAAGTAGCTAGAAATATATATACCACACAGATAGTAACCTGAGTAGGAATGGAAATGCAATACCAAAATCATAAAGAGACACTTAGATGACTATTGTTACTAGAGACAAAGAAGAAAATTTAACAAGTAAAAAGAAGCAATACATCAGGAAGTCATAGCAGGAAATATAAATAAAGAGCATCCAAATTGGAAAGGAAAGAAGCAAAACTATTTGCTTAGAGAGAACATGATCATATGTAGAAAACTTTAAGGAATGCACCAACTAACCCTTATAACTAACAAATGAGTTCAATGAGTTTGCAGAATACAAGATTGAGACACACCACCATTATTAATTGTACTTGCCATTCAGTGCTTTAGGTCTCTAGTACTTACTCATATCTGAAAAGCTGGACCTTTGGCCCAATATCTTCTCTTAT